GTTAATCAGCTTTTTAGAGCATTTTTTATATTTTCATTTTTGCTGTTGCTGTTTTGTTTCCTTGTCCTTTAAATTCTTCTTCTTTCTTCTTGAACAGAGATACTCAGCTTATCCAAGCTTTTTCATTAGCACTTAGCATTTAGTAGACTTTAATTTCACTATACTATTTTGTGACCTTTGTACGTGTTGTTGTTGTTGTTGAAAGAGCAGTTGGTGAAACAAATATCCCTCAACAAGAAAAAAGCAGTACTTTTTGTTAGGTGGTCGACGAAGTCAAAAAGAAGAAGAAGATAAAGAAAAAGAAGAAGAAGAAGAAGAAGAAGTTAGGAGAGAAAAATATTGAACAAAACTGATTAACAACAAAAACAATGAATAACAAAAAAGCAACCAAAACTTGCGTCAAATATCTGTTTTGTCCTAATGGTTGTACACTGCGATTCCTCAAAATTTTGTTACAGCATTCACCTTTATCATTTCTGTTTAGAAAAAAAAAAGATTAAGCTGATAAAAACTTAAACAATATAAAACAAAAAAAAAATTTTTTTTTAAACTTGAAACTCGTAAAATAATCATTGCTTCACAAACTTTAATGCACTCCAACAATAAAACTGCCATTAAATTAGTTTTGCCAAAAAAAAAAAAGCCGAACGGAGAAGCATCCTTTCAGCTTTTTCTCCTCATAAAGCTCAGTAACTAAACTAAACTGCCATAAATAAATTAATGAGGCAAATCTGTACAGTTCTGATAAACAAATTGCACGCCGACTACAGCTAAGTACATCTGAAAAAAAAAAAAAAAAAGTCTTTGTATTGAACATTGTCAAAAAGGAATTAGCAAATAAAGTAGTTGTAAAAAAAGCTGAATATTTTTCTGTCTCCCTCTCTCTCTCTCTCTTCCAACCTCCTCATCCTATTCTTTCCCTCTTACAACAACAGCAAATGATTAGTCAATATTATTGCTTTTTCCAGGAAGACTATGCAGCAAATTTAATTGAAGAAAGTGGCAAAAATTGTACTGAAACACATTTAACTGAAGGTGAATTTGGCACAGACGATTTGCATTATCTTATTGACTTTGATATGGCATTCCTCGGTGATCAACCAGCAGCTTATCAAAAACATATAGAAAACATCCGAAAAGAATATGCACATTTGGATGATGCCGAATACAACAGTCAACGATTAAAGGTAAGCCTAAAAGCAACTAAAGTGGCTGCTATATAACACCGTATAATGAAGCTGTTATTTATTTGGCACCACTTCTCGTAAAAATAACTTTTACCGGTTAAGTTTCAAATTTGTCATCGGCTAACAGCATAACTTGTCTAACCTTTTACTAATCTCTTAGGCAAAAATTCTTTTTTTGAAGAAGTCAGGCCAAGCCGTCAATGTTATTTCTTTTCCACTTATTTCAACAAAAAAAAAAAACCGGTTTTTCATTATTTTTCTACCACCACACATATCACCTTCAGAAAAAAAAAATTTAGCTCGTATTTTATAACAACAAAAACTTCTTTTTTGTTCCTTTAGATTCTTGAACTCTTTCTTCAAATACCAAATATATTTGCAACCAAAGAACTGCGTGAACGTTATGAAGAACAAGCGCGAAAAAATATCCTAAATGAAATAGATCAGTTATCTTCATATAAAACTACATAAATTCCATCAAATGCTCATCAAATAATGCTTCTTTTTAACCTCTCTGCTTTAAACAGATTATTTGACTGCTTTCGTAGCTGCAACAGTGAAGTTTTCTGTATGCATGGATATGTAAATATGTTTTCTGTTCTTTGCATGATGCCATTATCCCAGAGGATTGTTTTTTTTTCAATAGTTTAACAAACTAAGTAAAAGCATTGTTTGACAGCGTAAGTTCATGTTACAATAACATTAATAATTTGCACTAAGAAGCCATAAGTTTGAACTTGACATCACAACCGGTCAACTGCATTGCAAACAAAAACTGAAAGATGGATAAGACATCAAAAGATAACAGGTGACAAAGATAAAAGAAAAACAAAAAGAAAAAAAAACCAAATCCTAGATCCTTGGTTACGTAAAAACGATTTTTTACTCTATTTCCGCTCTGTCTTAGTAATATAAAAGCGACTATAGATCATGTCTAAGCGCCCCAAAACTATTTGAAGCCTGTAACAGTTGTGGTTAATGAAGCAAAACGTCTACCGTTGAAAAGTTACTCAGTCAGCTTAAAAAAAAAAAAAAATTCGTACACTTTTCACGTCGATATATACAACAAAATAAACAACTTTATAAAATTGCCTTCAAATCAATCATAAATATAACTTAATATATCAATAATTTAATTTTAATGAATAATGTTGTTCAACCAAATAATAACAGGCTCAAAGTGAAAATAAAGAATACGCTACACTGAGCAACAGCAAACATCTGCACCCACCTCAAACCGGAAGTACACTAAACTTACAAACTAATAATTTTACAAATTAAGCAGTATTTCTGATAAATTAAAAAAAGCAAAGAAAAAAAACGAGAAAAAAAGTGTCGTTCAATCGTTTCAATACCAACTTTTTCAGTCGCCACTTTTTTTTTTTGTTTTAAACGCTAAAACGTTGTTCAATCTTTAAAATGTTTACAAAAATAGATTTAGAAACATCTTTTAAAACCTACTTGCAATTTACCTATAAACTAAAAAAAAAAAATGAAAAGTTTACCTGTACAAAACAAAAAAAAAAATCCGATAAAACTTAGCTCAAAATTTTCTGTCTTTTCTTTTTTTTTTTTCTTGTTAGATTTGTGTTTACTTTTTATAAGTTAATTTTGAATTTGATTTGTTGATTGAGAAAGTCCATTATAAAAACCGAACTTTGTAAACTTTAAAATTACTGGACCACTTTTACAAGAACATTTTTTTTCCTGAACAAACAAACTTCAGCAGTCTGTCGCTAAACTTTTATCTTTACTTTTGAAACAAAAAAAAAGAAAAAAAAAAGGAAAAAAAGAATAAAAAAACAAAAATTTTTTCTATTAGTTTTGCCGAAAATACCAGAACAATGTGCTGTTGAAACGATGATTCACTGAACGGTTGCGCAAAACTAAAGAATGTTTTCAGCTCATCATATTCGATGGTCGTCTCTTCGCTCTCTTCTCGACCATCGGTAAAAACTTGAAAGTTCTTTTGGGAAGAATACATACTTTTACTGGTGTTTCGTTGCATTTCCTCTAAACAAAACAAATCAAGCTTTCTTAAAAAAAAAAAGAAAAAACAAAACTAACTTCTTCTAATTGAGCTTTTTTAAAAACAAAGAATGAATAAACATCGAAAAGTTTTCCACCATCTTCACTCCACTTCCTCTCCTATTTGTTCAATAAAATAATTCGCAAATCAAGAGGGTACTAAACAAACTGACAATGAAATGAGGTAAAGTTAACTGCATTGTATATAAGTTTGGACTTTTTTGCTAAGACAAAAAAAAAAAAAAA